CCCGAGGACATTTTTCCATTTTTTTGTTCAGATAGAGTGGGAGGGAGAGAGAGGAAGAGAGAGAGAGAGAAACATCGATGTGAAGGGACACATCGAGTGGCTGCCACCCGCACGACCAACCAGGGCCGGGGACAAACTGCAACCGAGGTACGCGCCCTTAGCGGGAACCGAACCCGGGTCTCTCAGGACCGCAGGCCGACACTCCAACCGCTGAGCCAAACCGGCCAGGGCGGCTTTTTATTTTCTTAAAAATGTTTTTTGACATTCTAAGTACCTTCCTTTTTGTATCTATACATATGCATTCAAAAATTTTTTTTATATTAGAGAGACAGAAAGGGAGAGAGAGATAGCAACATCGATCATTTGCCACCTGCACGCCCCCAATGAGGGCGGAGGATGAACTGCAATTGAGGTACGCTCCGTTGGCTGGAATTGAACCTGTGACTCATTGGTCTGTGGGTTGATGCTCTAACCACTGAACCAAACTTGCCAGGCTAAAATTTGGTTTTTTAAAGCATGAATTTTCATAGTCAAATTAAAGATGAAAATATGCTATGAATAACACTTCTTCTACTTTAGCTTTAAAAATTTTTTTTTCTTTAATGATTTATTTTCAAAAAATTTTTCTTTATTGCTTTTAGAGAGAGGAAGGGAAAGAGAGATAGAAACATTGATGTGAGAGAGAAATATCTATTGGCCACCTCCTGCACACAACCTGGGCATGTGCCCTGGAATCAAACTGGGACCTCTCAGTCCATGGGATGACACTCAGTCCACTGAGCCATGACAGCTGGGCTTTCTTTATTGATTTTAGAGAGAGAAGAGGAAGAGAGAGAGAGAGAAACATTGATGAGAGAGAACATCGATTGGCCACCTCCTGCATGCCCCTCTTTGAGGACTGGACCCACAACCTGGGCATGTACCCTGACCAGGAATTGAACCAGTGACCTCCTGGTGCATGGGTTGATGCTCAACCAGTGAGCCACACCGGCTAGGCTGTCCTCTTCCTTTTTTTTTTTTTTTTTTAATATGTTTTTATTGCCCTGGCTGTTTTTGCTCAGCAGTTAGAGCGTCGGCCTGTGGACCAATGAGTCTCAGGTTCGATTCTGATCAAGGGCATGTACCTCAGTTGCGGTTTGTCCCCATCTCAGGTTGGGTCATGAGGGAGGCAGTCAGTTGATGTGACTCTATCACATTGATGTTTCTCTCTGTCTCTTTCCCTTCCTCCTACCTAATTTATCTGATAATAAGCAAAAAAATATCCTTGGGTGAGGAATAAAAAATAAATAAATAAACATGTTTTCATTGAAATTTTAGAGGGAGAGATAGAAATATTGACCTGCTGCCTTCTGCATGCCCCCTACTGGGAATCAAGCCCCGCAACCTGGGCATGTACCCTAACAGGAAATCAAACCAGGACTTCTCAGTCCACGGGAGGAAGTCCAATCCACGGAGCTGCACAGACTGGACAGAATCTTTGGCTTTTAAATACTTTTTCTTTATTGATTTTAGAGAGAGAGGAAGGGAGAGGGAGAGAGGGATAGAAATATTGATGTGAGAGAAGATCAATTGGCCGCCTCCTGCATGGCCCCCACTGGGGATCTGGCCCACAACCTAGGCATGTGCCCTGAGTGGGAATCGAAACAGTGACCTCTTAGTGCATGGGTCAATGTTGAGCCACTGAGCCACACCGGCCTGGCAAAATCTTTGGCTTTTAATAGAGGAATTTGTCATTCAGATTTTTATTCACATTTTTATTTTATGTTTTTTTCTATTGTGCATGTTTTCTCCATTTCCCCGCCCCTGCTCTTTGTTTCTTCAGTTTCCTTTTTTTAAAGTACTATATCTTCCCCGGGCTGATCTGGCTCAGTGAATTGAGCGTCACCCCATGGACTGAGAGGTCCGGGTTTGACTCCCGATCACGGCACATGCCTGGGTAGTGGACTCGATCCCCAGCAGGGGGCATGCAGGAGACAGTCGATCCATGTTTTTCTCTCACAGAGATCTTTTTTTTTTTTTTTTTTTTTTATCCTCACTTGAGGACATTTTTCCATTTTTTGTTCAGACAGAATGGGAGGGAGAGAGAGGAAGAGAGAGAGAGAGAAACATCCACATGAAAGGGACACATTGAGTGGCCGCCACCCACACGACCAACCAGGACCGGGGACAAACTGCAACTGAGGCACGTGCCCCCAACGGGAATTGAACCTGGGTCTCTCTGGACTGCAGGCCAACGCTCTAACCGCTGAGCCAAACTGGCCAGGGCAAGAGATGTTTCTATTTCTCTCTCAAAAAAATCAATAAAAACAGATTTAAAAAATTTAAATATTAGATCTATTTTGCTTCTACTAATGGTTTTTCATAAAATGTTTATGATAAAGAGTTTCAAAGAATAATATAATAAATGCATGGACCCACACAGAGCTTCAAAATAAACATTATCAGTACCGTTGATATCCCCTCTGTACATCCCCTGCATCATCATCAGCCTTCCTGTCCCTGCTATGTAATCATCTTCTAAATTTAATTACCCTTAGATTGTTACAAACACACACATGTCTCTCGGTTAGTCTGGGAAATCTTTCTTCATCCTTCCAGATAGAGTTGATTATATGTGGACCTTAAATATATTTATGTAAATATTGTTTAGAGTGCTATAGTTTCATATAATTTGTGATAATTAGCCCTGGCTGGTTTGTCTCAGCAGTTAGAGTGTCGGCCTGCGGACCAGAGATTCCTGGGTTTGGTTCCTGCTAAGGGCATATACTTTGGTTGCAGTTTGTCCCTGGCCCTGGTTGGGGTCATGTGGTGGCAACCAGTTGATGTGTCTCTCTCACATCGATGTTTCTCTCTTTCCCCCTCTCTCCCTCCCGCTCTATCTGAAGATGAATGCAAAATTGTCCTTGGATGAGGATATTAAAAAAAAGTAAAAAATCTGTGATAATTATGCCCTGGCTGGTTTGGTCCAGTGGTTAGAGCGTTGGGCTGTGGATCAGAGAGACCCGGGTTCATTTCCTGTTAGGGGCATGTACCTCGGTTGCAGTTTGTCCTTGGCCCCAGTTGGGGTCGTGTGTGTGGCAACCAGTCGATGTGTCTCTCTCATATCAATGTTTCTCTCTCTCTCTTCCTCCCTCTCTCCCTCCTGCTCTATCTGAAGATGAATGTAAGAATGTCCTCGAGTGAGGATTAAAAAAAAAAAAATTTGTGATAATTACAAATACAATTTACTGTAATTTGTAGCTGTTAATATGTTTTATATTTCTACATGCATATGTTTATATAATTTGAACAGGTGATGTATTTTAAGTAGTATTAACTTATACAGAAATTACTATTCATGTAATTTCTCAAAGTTATATCATGAATGATGGCATTAGTAATCTTTATGATTGTCTTGAAAATTTGAATTTAGGTAGTTTTCTCTGTTTTAATAATATTTTTTTTCTAAAAATAGGAGTATTTTCTACATTGCGTGCTGTTCCCCAAAAGGAGGGATACCTTGGATTGTATAAAGGGAATGGTGCAATGATGATTCGAATCTTTCCCTATGGTGCAATCCAGTTTATGGCATTTGAGCATTATAAAACGGTGAACTTTTATTTTGTTTTCTTCTTTTGTGTCCTTAAGTATCATACTTAGTTGACAAGGCATTTGCCTTGGCCTTTAAAGTTACTTTGGCCCTGGCTGGTTTGGCTCAGGGGTTAAAGCGTCGGCCCGCGGACCAGAGAGTGTTGGGTTCATACCGCCAAGGGCACATACCTCGGTTGCAGTTTGTCCCCAGCCCCGGTTGGGGTTGTGTGGGTGGCAACCATTCAGTGTGTCTTTCTCACATCGATGTTTCTCTCTCTTGCTCCCTCTCTCCCTCCCGTTCTATCTGAAAAAAAAAAAAAAAAAGTTTCTTTGAATGAATGGGTAAATTAATGCTTTTTTGAAGGAATAAGACTTGTGATAATTTCAATTTTAAATATAACTTGGTTTTGGAATTATCTATTGTAAAATTGTTAGTCATTTTTGAGCAAATCATTTATATTCTCACTTATGAAGAAGAGCCAAAGTATCCTTCAAGTAGACAATAATAAATTATTAAAACATTCATAGCTCTTTAATGTGCTTTTTGTGTCTCAGTTGTAGGAGAGGAACATTGTGGCTTTGGATTTGCTTATTAAATGAAATAGAAAAACCATATTGTAAAAGTCTATAAGTAATGATCTAAGTTAATAGCTTTTTCCATCTTATTCATTGATCAAGTTTCTCTTTTCTAGCTGACCAAATATTTATCCTCTCAAACATCTTAACACAAAAAGGGGTTAACTATGTTAAATTTTACAGTGTATCTTTTTTTAATGATTTCATTAAAAAAAAATATATATATATATATATATATATTTTAGAGAGAGGAACAGAGGTGAGAGAGAGAGAGAGACATCTATGTGAGAGAGAGACATCAATCATTTGCCTCCTGTATCTTCTACCAGGGATCGAACTCACAACCTGGGTATGTGCCCTGACCGGGAATCAAATCCACTACCTTTCGGTGTATGGGACAATGCTCCAACCAACCAAGCTACACTGGCCAGGGCTCATGGTGTATGTTATAATGAAAAGTAAACAGTAGAGATGGGAACAACATTTTAAGCTAGTCTGTCAGACAGAATGGATGCCATCAGTATATGAAGACTTCAATGTCTATAGAAACATTTTATTCCTATTACTTCCATACACACTTTATTTGTGGTCATTAATATGTAGTATATTCAGTAATTCTAAGCTAGATTGCTTCGGTAAAAGTACAGAATTAGAGCTGAGGCTATAGAGAAAGTATCTGACCTCTTTATAATGTCATAAAACACTGTCAAGCTTCATAAAATTATGCTCATTTCACTCACATTTAATACTGATTTTCTTTTTACTAGTTCTGTAACTCTTGAAATATCTTTATTATTAAACAGTGAAATGGGTAGCATTTATAAATTATTTAATTTGCTGTTTTTGGTTTCTAGTTAATTACTACAAAGCTGGGAATTTCTGGTCATGTGCACAGATTAATGGCTGGATCCATGGCAGGTAAGAGGAGTGGGTATATTTTATTTCTGATATATATTTTCTATTAATATACTTAATTTGGGCCCTAGTTGGTTTGGCTCAGAGGTTAGAGCGTCGGCCCTGCACACCAGAGAGTTCCAGGTTCAGTTCCCGCTAAGGGCACGTACCTCGGTTGCAGTTTGTCCCTGCCCCCATGGGGTTGTGTGGATGGCAGCCAGTCGATGTGTCTCTCTCACATCGATGTTTCTCTCTCTCTTCCTCCTTCTTTCCTTCCCATTCTATTGGAAAATAAATGTAAAAATGTCCTCGGGTGAGGACAAAAAAAAGTACTTAATTTGGTATAGGTGATATGTGTGACATTGATTAAATAATACACGTTTGTTATCTTTCCATATTCAATTATATAAGAAATCATTGACTTTTTTTCCTTTATTGATTTTAGAGAGGTGAGAGGGAGAAAGAGATAGAAACATCAATGAGAGGGAATATAGATTGGCTGCCTCCTGCATGCCCCCAGCTGGGGATCTGGCTCACAACCTGGGCGTTTCATGACTGGGAATCGAATTGAACTGGTGACCTCTTGGTGCGTGGGTTGAAGCTCAACCACTGAGCAACACTGACTGTACAGAAATCATTTTTATTTTATCTCTAAAAGAGTATTTTACAAGAGATGGTAAGGAATAGCCTACACTTACAACAAATGAAAAACATACACATTCCCTTTGATAATTCTCTTTCTGAAAATGTTTATTTTTTATTTAAAATTAAAAATTTATTTTTTATTGATTTTAGAGAAAGAGTAAGGGAGAGAGAGAGAGACAGAAACATCAATGAGAGAGAACATCTATTAGCCCACAACCTGGGCATGTGCCCTGACTGGGAATCGAACCGGCGACCTCTTGGTGCATGGGTTGATGCTCATCCACTGAGCCACACCAGCCAGGTTTCTTTAAAAAATTTTTTAAAATTACTTTTAGCCCTAGCTGGTTTTGCTCAGCGGTTAGAGCATCGGCCTGCAGTCCAGAGAGACCTGGGTTTGGTTCCCGCTAAGGGCATGTACCTCGGTTGCAGTTTGTCTCCGTTCCTGGTTGGGTCATGTGGGTGGCAGCCACTCGATGTGTCCCTTTCAAGTCCATGTTTCTCTGTCTCTCTTCCTCTCTCTCCCTCTCACTCTGTCTGAACAAAAAATGGAAAAATGTTCTCAGGTGAGGATAAGAAAAAAAAATTACTTTTATAGTAATACCTACTACTATACAATGAAAATAGTTTCACTCCCTAGAAACAATCACTATCAATAGTTTCTTATATATGATTTTTTATAATACTACTCTATAGGATAAGAACTTTTAGTTATCTCAAGATTCTTTCTATAGCAGTACATAGATTTTTTTTTAGAATTGTGTTATATTCTAAGGTATGAATGTACCATGATTTATTTAATCAACCTCTTGTTGATTGACATCGGAACATTTTTAGTTTGTTTGTTTGTTTATTTATTTATTTATTTTTTATCCTTACCCGAGGACACTTTTCCATTTTTTTTTGTTCAGATAGAGTGGGAGGGAGGGAGAGGAAGAGAGAGAGAGAAACATCGACGTGAAAGGGACGCATTGAGTGGCCGCCACCCGCACGACCAACCAGGGCCGTGGACAAACCAACTGCAGTACATGCCCTTAGCGGGAACCGAACCCGGGTCTCTCTGGACTGCAGGCCGATGCTCTGACCGCTGAGCCAAACCGGCCAGGGCTATTTTCCGTTTTTGTTTCACAAATAACACATTGTACTTGTGTGATTATGTCTGTAGGATAAAGTTTCAGAAGAGAAATTGCTTTATCAAGGAAATGTATATTTAAATTTTGATAGACGTTGGCAAATGAATCTCCATAATGCTTTCAATCGCCTTTCCCCCTACTTAACCATATCAATACTGGATATTGTCAAATGTTGAATACTTGGACATTAATTATGATTAAGGTTGATCAACTTTTCAAACTTTTAGTGACCATATGTATTTCTCTTACTTTTTCCTTGAGTTTTCAAGTATTTCTAATATTTTATTTCCCAGTTTTAGATTTATCTATTGACCTTGCTTGTGATTTATTAGAAAATTCATCTAAAAGTTGTTTTTACCCCCATATAGAAGATTTAAACAGCCAAAAGTGTTCGTCGTTTTCTTTGCAGCTTCAAAATTTTGTATTGTGTTTATAAATACCTTTCCCTTTCTTTTTTTTTTGTTTTTTTTGTTTTTTTGTTTTTTGTTTTTATCCTCACCCGAGGACATTTTTTCTATTTTTTGTTCAGATAGAGTGTGAGAGGGAGAGAGAGAGAGAAACATCGATGTGAAAGGGACACGTCTAGTGGCTGCCACCCACACGACCCAACCAGGGCCAGGGACAAACTGCAACCGAGGTACACGCCCTCAGCGGGAACCGAACCCGGGTCTCTCAGGACCGCAGGCCGACGCTCTAACCGCTGAGCCAAACCGGCCAGGGCAATATCTTTCCCTTTCTAACATAAAACATTTAATCATGTTTTCTTCTAAAACATTTTTATTAAAATTTTTATATTGATCTTTTTAATATTTATTTTTATATAAGGAATGAAATAGGGATTGAATAAAATTTTTTCTCTAAATAACTGGTTAATTTTGCCAACATTATTTACTCAGTAATTCATTCTTTCCCTGATTTTAAGCACCTCTATCATATAATAAGTTCTGTGAATTTATTTAAGAGTATATATATATATATATACATACACACATACATACATATATACGTATATATAAAAATTAGTCCTGGCCGGTTTGGCTCAGTGGTTAGAGCATTGGCCTGCGGTCTGGAGAGACCCGGGTTCAGATCCTGCTAAGGGCACATACCTCGGTTGCAGTTTGTCCCCGGCCATGGTTGGGTTGTGCGGTGGCAACCACTCGATGTGTCCCTTTCACGTCGATGTTTCTCTCTCTCTCTCTCTCCCTCCCACTCTATCTGAACAAAATATGGAAAAATGTCCTCGGGTGAGGATAAAAAAAAAAAATTATATTTAGTAACGAAGATGTTCAGATGTTCATTGTAGCTTTGTTTATTATAACAAAAGGTGATTTAAATGTGTAGCAGTAGGAGAGTGGTTTAAAAAAATCCATGTATGAGAATTCTACACATTTACTAATATACCTTCTGTAGATTTTTATTAACAAAGAAAGAAAGATGTTTACATAATAAATAGCAAATTGGAAAAGAGTGTTCCATATTATATATCATATTTTGCTTTTTAAACCGTAAATACATATATAAATATTCATAGAAAAATCCTGCAAGGTTATAAATCAATATGGAAGATGATAGATCAAAATCCTTTTTTAATATATTCTCACTTGAGATTATTTTTCCATTATTTCATTTTGTTTTTATTTTTTGTTTTTTTTAATCCTCACCTGAGGATATTTTTCCATTTATTTTTAGACCGAGTAGGGGGAAAGAGAGAGAGAGAGAGAGATTCATCGATGTGAGAGAGATATATCAACTGGTTACCTCCTGCACAACCCAACCAGGGCCGGGGATGAACTGCAACTGAGATACATACTCTTGATCAGAATCGAACCCGTGATTCATTGGTCCTTGGGCTGATGCTCCAACTGCTGAGGCAAACTGGCCAGGGTAATTGATTCTTTTTTTTTAGATAGAGTGGAAGAAAGGGATGGAAGTTGAGAGAGAGAGAAAGAGAGAGACGTGAGAGAGAGATATTGATTGGTTGCCTCCCATATGACCCTGACTGGGGCTGGGGAGGGAAACTGCAACCCAGGTACGTGCCCTTGACTGGGATTTGAACCTGAGATCTGTCAGTCCGAGGCCGCTCCTCTAATTGCCGAACCAAATCAAGCAGGGTTCAAAATCTTAATTATAGTGGTTATCATAGGGTTTGTAGGATTTCAGAAAACTTTTTTGGCTATTATTTTAGTCATGGTATGACATACTCCATGGTGGTGTCAGGTTTCTGTAATCACGATTCTGTACCATCCCTTTGTGGGTATCGGCAGTAGCAGAGAGATATGTGTGGCTATAGCAGCTAGGTTATTTGTACTTTCTGAGTGTATAGACTCCTTTTATTCAATATGCACAATTAAGCATTCTGGTTGTTCTAAAGCCCTTGAGGTTTACCTACATGTGTTGTAGGGTGGGGAGAAGAATGCAGTTAGATGTGAGTAGGTAAACCCTAAAGGCAGTAATAAAAACAATCTTTGGATAGACCGAGACACTATCGCCTTACTCATCTTCCTCATTGTTGAGACAACAGGCTTGGTCTTAGATGACAGGTCTTAGGAACTTACCAGATACTACCTTAGACTCTGAAACCAAGGGCTCTTCAGCCTTACACCTTTATACCTTGATTTATGCTATTCCACCTGACTTAACCTTGTTCATAGTTTTGCCTTATCCAATGTTTATTTAGCTCTTCTTTTTGTTTTGTTTTGTTTTGTTTTTAATCCTCACCCAAGGATTTTTTCCATTTATCTTCAGATAGAGTGGAGAGGGGGCGAGAGGGAGAGAGAAAAACATCCATGTGAGAGAGACACATCGATTGGTTGCCTCGTGCATGACCCTTACTGGAACTGGGACAGAACTGCAACTGAGGTAGGTGCCCTTGACCGGAATCAAACCCGTGACTCTTTGGTCCATAGACCAACGCTCTAACTGCTGAGCCAAACTGGCCAGGGCTATTTAGCTCTTCTTGATTCTAGCTAGGTGACTCAAGTTCAGTGAGTAATAAAAATAAGCAAGAATAATATTAAAAATATTTAGTAACCCAACTGTAGAGGTACTAACTAATAGGGAAGGTTCTGAAGCCTCCATTTAACTCTTTTGTGGCTGAATCATGAGATGGTATGTGGTGGTGGTGAAGTGGCAGTTCCGGGAGGAGAGAAAGCTACAAGAGCCATTATAGGGTAGATCTTGGGAAGTTGGAGCAACAGTTATTTGCCAGATGGTACAGAAATATTTCAGTATTTCACACTGGTATGATGGTGCTGGTGAGTTATATTAGCTAACATGTATTGCTCACATGTACTGTTCACAGACTTAAGCCTGTGACATGTCATCTTGCCTAGTGCTATGGAAATAGTCCATTTTTCCTTCTGATATCTTACCTTGGAATAGACAAGTAATAGACATTTTAAAATACTCATGAGCCACTTATACTGTACTATTTTGGTGCTCACAATACATCTTCACAGTGGGAAGAACTTGAAAAGATTTTGCAAACTGACCCTTTACTTACAAGGTTATTTTTCAGCTTATGATATTATGATAAAATTGTATCAATGTCACCTTTGATTTCATTGGGTTTTCGTCATTGCTGTAATTTGAGAACACAACAAATGATAAGATATACAGATAGATAGATAGATAGATAGATAGATAGATAGATAGATAGATAGATAGATAGACATATATCTTTCATATGTAGGACATATATGATGTGACGTAATGATAGGAGAGAGATATATGTGTCAAAAAACTTCTTGTAGCCCTGGCCAGTTTGGCTCAGCGGTTAGAGCGTCGGCCTGCGGAACAAAGTGTCCCGGGTTTGGTTTCTGCTAGGTACATGTACCTGGGTTGCAGTTTGTCCCCAGCCCTGGTTGGAGTTGTGTGGGTGGCAGCCACTCGATGTGTCTCTCTCACATTGATGTTTCTCTCTCTCTTCCCCCCTCTCTTCCTCCCTCTCTATTTGAAGATACATGCAAAATTGTTGTCGGGTGAGGATTAAAAACAAAAAAAACCTACAAACTTCTTGTACATTTAAGTTTCTATTTTTCTTTTCAGGTATGACAGCAGTTATCTGTACTTACCCTCTTGACATGGTTAGAGTACGCCTAGCATTCCAGGTGAAAGGGGAACACACTTACACAGGAATTATTCATGCATTCAAAACAATTTATGCAAAGGTACATATTTACTTTTCTCATCTATAACATGTCCTGTTATATTTAGGAAACTATTTTGAATCTTATCTAAATAATTATTCTTTTTTCTTTTTTAAATCTTTATCATTTATTACAAAAATAAATAAATAAAGTGTACAGTTCAGTGAGGTTTAATATACTTGCAGAGTTCTGCAAATCCAGAACATGTCGTCCCCCTCTGCCTTTTAACACTGGCTCACGGTGTGAGCAGGCAGGCAATGGGCAGTGCTGTGCTCTAGGCTGTGACTCAGTGGTTCTCCTAGACTCTGGGACCCCCAAGCATGAGGCTTTGGGAGCAGTGAGACATGAGTTTGGAGCTCAGCTCTGGCACTTACCAGCTCTAGGATCTTAAGTTGCTCAGTCTTTCTGTTACAGGGGATTTTTTCACCTACACTGCCATCTTGACTGGAAGTGTAAATAATTATTCTTTTATTGATAATAATAATTATGAAAACATATCTGTGTTTCAAGGTGGGTCCCAGAATAAATTTTTTATTATAATGTATGCTTTAAAATTTTTTTTACTTACTGATTTTTTTAGAGAGAGAGAAAAAGAAACATTGATTTGTTTTTCCACTGATTTATGTATTCGTTGGTTGCTTCTTGTATGTGCCTTGACTGGTGATCGAACCCACAACCTTGGCATATTGGGATGATGCTCTAACCATCTGAGCTACCAGGCCAGGCTATAATGTATGCTTTTTGTTCTTTGATGTTTATGATCATGAGAGAAATGTAATCTTATATTATTTCTTCACTCAAAAGGAAGGCGGTTTCCTTGGATTTTACAGAGGCCTGATGCCTACTATATTAGGAATGGCTCCATATGCAGGTATGTTTCAAATTTGGCAGAATCTTGGTATTTTATTGTATTCTAAGAATGATTTTTAAAGTTTAGCATTTTATGTTTAAGCCACTGATCTGTCAGAATTATTTTTTTTCCTCCTTAGGGTAACCATTTGACTCAGCACAATTTATTAAGTAGTTCCTCCTTCCCCAGTGATCTTCAGTGCTAGTTCTTAAAACAATAATAGAATGCAGTTTTATAATAAGTCTTTATAGTAGGTAGGGCAAGTTTCTTGACTTTATGCTGTTTCTTATTTTCAGGAATGTAAGGATTATAGATATTTTGCTGTTTCACACACTTTGGAGTCAGATTTTGATGTTGCACAAGAATACTTTTTGAGATTTTGAATGAAATTTCATACAGTTTTTGGACATTTTTGCTAGATCTAGTCATAGATACCTTATAAGCTTTGTTGTATCTTTTAGAAAATTACATTTTAGGCTTATTGCTTGATTTAATTTTTATATGATCTTATAATTTGTTATCTTACTTGTCAATAGTATAGCCACCCACCATGTTACTTGCAGATGTTTTGGGTTTTCTGTGTGGCCAGTCGCATCTTCTGCAAATAAGATTATTTTTCTTACTTCATTCTTATTCTTACTTTTTAAAAATTTATTTATGTTTGTCTGATCTTACTATACTAGCTAAGGACCTATAGTGCAGCAGTGAATAAAAGTCATGATTCTAGCCATTTTGGCTCGCTATTGATTTTAAAGGGAATATTTCTAATAGTTATTTAGCATAATGTTTAGTGTGTACCAATTATCAGGTTGAATAAGTTTTATAAGAATTTTTACCTGAATTGGTGTCGAATTTTATCAGATGCCCTTTTTTGCATATAGTAAGGTAATCATATAGTTTTCTCCTTTAATCTATTAATATGGTTAATGACATTAATCAGTGTTTTAATGTCAACCCAAACTGATTGTGGTACAGTGATCTTTTTTTTTTTGTACCTGCCGCTAGCGGAAACCGAACCCGGGATTCTCTGGTCCACAGGCCGATGCTCCAACCACTGAGCCAAACCAGCCAGGGCTAGTGATCTTTTTATATCCTGTTGGATTCAATTTTATAAGTTTTCCATCTATATTTATAAGTGAGATTACTTTGTAATTTTCTTTTCTTGTAATATCCTCAAGGTCTCATAGAATGAGTTAAAGAATATTTCTTCATTTTCCATCCTCAGGAAGAATCCATATAAAATGATTAGAATTACCTGTTTCTTGAAAGTTTTAATTATGGGATGATTAAGTACAGTTTGATATCTTGAATTATTGTAGGGTTGTAAAAGTTTTTGTGAGTCATTTTTGGTAATTCACACCTTTCTTTACCATTTTGAACTTGACTGTTTTCTGCTAGTTTTTAATTTTTGTTAAAAGATTTTTCTTTTTATTTATAGAAAGGGAGAGATGAAGGGAGAGAGAGAGACAAAGAGAAAGAGAAAAAAAGAAACATTGATTTTGTTGTTCCACTTATTTATGCATTCATCGGTTAATTCTTGTATGTGCCCTGACTAGGATCTAACTCACAACATTGGTGTATCGCAGCAGTTCTCAACCTGTGGGTCGTAACCCCTTTGGGGGTCAAACAACCCTTTCACAGGGGTCGTCTAAGACCATCAGAAAACACATATTTCTGATGGCGATTCATAGCAGTAGCAAAATTACAGTTATGAAGTAGCAACGAAAATAATTTTATGGTTGGGAGTCACCACAACATGAGGAACTGTATTAAAGGGTCGGGGCATTAGGAAGGTTGAGAACCACTGGTGTATCAGGATGTTGCTGTAACCAATTGAGCTGCCTAGGCAGGGTTTTCCTTATTTTTTCATAATATTTTACATCTGCTCTATCTATGGTTAGTTCCCCTTTTCAGTTTTGTTTATATTTCCTCTTCTTTAGTCTACCTTTGTTTTCCATTTCATTGATTTTTATTTATGCCTTAATTATCCCCTTCTTTCTCTGGGTTTATTCTTCAGTTGGATGCTTACCTCATTAACTTTCAACCTTTAGTCTTTTTCTTCCCCTAATGTAAGCATTTTTCTCCTAAATATTGCTTTAGCTGCATCTAAAGAGTTTGTTATTTTATTTGTTTTTACTTAAAATTTGGACATTTTAAAACATATGCAGAAGTAGACAACAGTATAATGCAGCACCATGTATCTATCACCTAGCTTCAAAACTGATCAACTCATGACCAGTCTTACTTTATGTAACCTCTAATTATCCCCTCCACCTTCATCTCAAATTGTTTTAAAGCAAAACCACTTTATTTCATCCACAATATATCTGTATTCAACTCTTTAAGCTTTTTATAAAGCATGACCTCATACCATTTGAAACTTTAAAAAAATTCTGAGTATCACCTAGTCATTGTTCAAATTCCTGCGCATCTCATAATTATTTTTTGGTCCTATCCAAGTTAATATTTACCTGGTATATCTTTTTTTTTTTTTTAATTATTTATTTATTTATTTTTTATCCTTACCCGAGGACATTTTTCCATTTTTTGTTCAGATAGAGTGGGAGGGAGAGAGAGAGAGAAACATCGATGTGAAAGGGACACATCGAGTGGTTGCCAACTGCATGACCCAACCAGAGCCAGGGACAAACTGCAACTGAGGTACGTGCCCTTAGCGGAAACCGAACCCGGGTCTCTCTGGACCGCAGGCCGATGCTCTAACTGCTGAGCCAAACCAGCCAAGGCTGGTATATCTTTTTTTCATCCTTTTTACTTTCTACTTTTTCATATCTTTATGTTTTTGGTATTTTTTTTTTGTAGTCATCATATAGCTGGGTATTTTATTTAATCTAGTCTGTAAATTATTTTTTGCCAATTAGTCCACTTAATAGTTATTGTGATTATTGATATATTTGGACTTGTTTCTATATCTTGCTATTTGATTTCTGTGTTGCTTTTCTTTTTTAATTCCTTTCTTATCTTGCTTGCTTGTTTTTCTGAACCCTTATCCCCTTACTCTTTGTTTTTAACCTTCCTGAATTTATTTATTTATTTAAAGATTTAAAAGATTTTATTTTTAGAGAGAGAGGAAGGCAGACGGAGAGAGAGAAACATTCATGTGAGAGCAAGATATGGATCAGCTGCCTCCTGCATGCCCCTACCAGGGATTGAGCCTGCAACCTGAGCATGTGCCCTGACCAGGTATCGAACCAGCAACCTTTTGGTGCATGGGACAACTCCCAACCAACTGAGCCATATTGGCCATTCCACCCCCCGCCCTTTAGTCTTTATAAATATACACATTTATTTGCCTCTTCCTGTGCTTGGTGGTCTTTAATAATGAGCTTATTACTTTATCTTAATCTCTGAGTTTCAGACTCAGTGATTCCTTTTTCAGTAGGACCAATGGCAGGATCCATCTCAATGGCTCTGCTGCTATTGTCATTAATATGTACTTATCACACCACTCTCATGAGCCCACACCTCCCAAATAGGCCCCAGCTTATATTTTTGGGAGGTGGTGGTTCTGGGGATTCATACTTTTTGTAAACCCAGCAATGAATGTAGTTGTTCTGTAATGACAAAGTCCTTTATAATACCTATATTGCCTTTTATGCTGGAAGCATAACTCTTTAGTTTTTTGCTATATTTTCTCCTCTTTGTATTTTTTATTTTTGTTTTCAGTTTTTAAAATATATTTTTAACTCTGGCCAGTTTGGCTCAGTGGTTGGAGTGTTGGCCCATGGACCAGAGAGGCCCAGGTTGGGTTCCTGCTAAGGGCACGTACCTCAGTTGAGGTTTGTCTTCGCTCCTGTTGGGGTTGTGTGGGTGGCAGCCACTTGATGTGTCTCTCTCACATCAATGTTTCTCTCTCTTCCTCCCTCTCTCTCTCCCGCTCTATCTCAAGATAAATGCAAAAATGTCCTTGGGTGAGGATAAAAAAATATATGAAATAAAAAATATTTTTACATAGTTATCATATATGTATAAAATATTATTTCTTCTTCTTCTTCTTTTTTTTTTTATCCTCACCCGAGGACATTTTTCCATTTTTTGTTCAGATAGAGCGGGAGAGAGAGAGAGAGAGAGAAACATCAACGTGAAGGGACACATCGAGTGGCTGCCACCCGCATGACCAACCAGGGCTGGGGACAAACTGCAACTGAGGTACGTGCCCTTAGCGGGAACCGAACCCGGGTCTCTCTGTACCGCAGGCCGACGCTCCAACCACTGAGCCAAACCGGCCAGGGCTATTTCTTCTTCATTTTCCAAGTTTTTTGGTTTTTTTTTATCCTCACCCGAGGACATTTTTCCATTTTTTTTTGTTGTTCAGGTAGAGTGGGAGGGAGAGAGAGGAACAGAGAGAGAGAGAGAAACATCGATGTGAAAGGAACACATCGAGTGGCTGCCACCCGCACGACCAACCAGGGCCGGGGACAAACTGCAACCGAAGTACGTGCCCTTAGCGGAACCGAACCCGGGTGTCTCCGGACCGCAGGCCGGCGCTCTAACCGCTGAGCCAAACCGGCCAGGGCGCTCCAAGTATTTTTTATATTTTTGAAAACTCTTCACAAATATCATCTTTTTTTTTTTTTAAATCTTCACTGGAGGAGGAAGGGAGGGAGAAAGAGAGAAACATTGATGTGAGAGAGATACATCGACTGGTTGTCTCCTCCCGTGACCCTACCAGGACCGGGACTGAACCAATACTGAGGTATGTCCCCTTGACCAGAATCGAACCTACAACTCTTTGGTCCATGGGCCAGTGCTCTAACTGCTGAGCCAAACCAGCCAGGGCACAAATATCATTTTTATTAATTGTGTCATATTTCACTAAATAGGATTCCACATCATTTAGATAGTTCTATTTTTTTTTTTTTTTTTTTTACTTATGTTTAATTTGCTGTGGACTTCTGGTTATGAGCATTTTCTGTATTTAGATGAAATCCTTAGAATATATTTTCCAAATATAAAAGTGTATAAATATTCCAAAATTATATATCATTTAAAAATACTATAAAATAAAAGAATTTTGTGTAAAGAATACCTGCAGCCCGGCCTGCGTGGCTCAGTGGTTGCACATCGACCCGTGCACCAGGAGGTCGCCAGTTTGATTCCTAGTCAGGGCACATGCCCAGGTTGTGGGCCCAATCCCGAGTGGGGGGCATGCAGGAGGCAGCCAGTCGATGTTCTCTCTCATTGATGTTTCTCTCTCTCTCTCTCTCCCTCTCCCTTCCTCTCTTTTTAGAATCAATAAAGAAAAAAAGTATATTATAAAATCATTAAAGTTTCAGCAATACCGACTTAATATTACCAATAACTTAATTCAATATTTATCAGATTTCACGTGTCTTGGTAGCCAATATGAACATTTCTCTCATGGTCACAACTCTTCCTTGAAGAAAAATTAGATAACTGAGTTAAAATAACAAGCTTTGTCACTTCTGAAGTTTTTGCCTCTATCTTGCATTATCATCAATATTGTTATTATAAATAGAAATTGTCATATTGTAGTTAATCATGAATTTAATATTTATTCATGCAAAATCTTGGAAAATAGTTTAATTTCATTCCTATATAAGGAGGCATTATACTCACTACTGTGTTTATTCAGTGAACTGAAGTATATATTAGTGTGTGAAAACTAATGCTTAATCTTTTGTAGGTAATTTTGTTGTCTTTAGGTTAGCTATAGACATTAATAATTTCTTTATCTTAGTTGAAGCCAAATGTTAGGAAATAGGAAATGCATAATTAGGTCCTTGAGTTAATTGGTTATTTTGTAAGAATGGTGTCTTTTCATAGCTCATGTTCTGTTAAGCATCGTGGTGAATTTATATTTTGTTTTTCAGGTGTTTCATTTTTTACTTTTGGTACCTTAAAGAGTGTTGGGCTTTCCCATGCTCCTACCCTTCTTGGCAGACCTTCATCAGACAATCCTAATGTCTTAGTTTTGAAAACTCACATTAACTTACTTTGTGGTGGTGTTGCTGGAGCAATAGCACAGACAATATCGTAAGTTTCTTCATCAACTTAATTCAGTCAAATTACAGGTACCCAAACCTGATTTTCAGCATTGATTAATCATTTTTCCAAGAAATTATTAAAACACAGGATTCCTTGCAAAATATAAGTATTTAATACATTTTTTTCCAGATATGCCTGCACTTTTAGCGTATTATAAATAATTTAGTGCCAAATTGACCAAATTAGTTTTAATCTACCCAATTTCCTGTGGATTAATTGAAAGAAAAGTAGGAAAAAACACTAAGTATAGTCTTCATCCATATTTTCTCAAGAATTTGCTTATATTAAGTTTCTGAAATTTGAGCCATTTGTGTGTTTGTGTGCATAAGGAGGCACAACTTCTGTTGCACTAAAATCTTGAAGGCCTGCTTGTCAGTGTACAAGGCATTGGGAGACTCACTGATGGAAAAACAGTTACAGCCTCAAGGAGCCTATACTCTCAAGTTCCAGTGGAAACATAATGGTATTACTATATTGTAATTGGAAAGGTGGCTTCAGAGAATTTCTCTAGACCAAGAGAGATTAAATAGATGAGATAAAAAGAAGCTGGAATAGGAAGAAAAGCTTTCTGTGACTAAGGAGTGTCCTATAAAACAGGAAGTAGTAGTGTCACAGGCTCAAAAAAGAGGATCCAAAGGAAAAAGAAAAGTCAGGGTAAGATAAGTACTGGAAAGTAAGGTATTCACTGGATTCTGCAACTATTACCTTTGTGAAAGCAAATTTGGTATACTTGTGTGTGAGAGAGCATACTAGATTAAGGGTAAAGAAGATGGGGCTGTGGTTTACTTGTGGAAACCTGGCTGTGGACCTTGTTCATTTGCAGAGACATGACCACCTCTGCCTATTTTGATTCTCTTCTTGGTTTTACTGCCCTTTTTCTTTATTATTCACTTCTAACTTAGATCCTTAAAATCTGTCTTCTCTTTCCCACTTCTCTTTTTAAACTATATTTTATACCCATTAATTCTTAACAGATTCAGTGGCTCCTTCTCAAGTCTTTTACCCTCCTTTCAATTGTTCTAGTGCCTTGATTTTTATAACATTGCCCTCTCTTCGTAATTATGCTCCCTAATCTACCCTTTTCTGGTACGTCTCTGATTCATCCTCCTCTTCCTACCTATTGGTGCCAAGTTTTAAAGGCTCAGCCAGACTTTTTTAATGTAGTTTTTCTGAGCCAACCATACTTTAGACCTTTGCTCTCCCCTTAAATATCTAGAATAGCTCCTCTGTTTTTATGGTTTCAATGGTCACTTGTCTACAGATAACAAGTTTTGTTTACATCTCCATGATTGACTCACTGTTACTTCTCTGGGATGTTTCTACTTGAACTTCTGCAATCAGTGCCAACGCTGTGGTTCAGAAATTCCTTTCTTTCCTCTTCGTGACAATCCTCAGTTTCCAACTTTCCTATTTGTTATTGATTAAACATTAATCTTCTGGTCCTAGTAATACTTTGAAATCATTCTCCACATTTTACATATTCATATAGTCACTTAATCTTATCATGTTTTACTTCAGAACATTGCCTACAGTGCTATTTTCTTTCTTAATGTTATTTCCCTAGTTCTGATCCTTATACCTTGTCTTCTTACATTCTCTCTTTTATACTAATCAATTTCTTCTATCCACATACATCTTTGCCTGCTTGGAAACTGAATCCTTCAGGTTGAGATTTTGGTTCCTTTATTCTCATGAAGTTTTTACCTCTCCCCAAACCCCATTAAAATAATTTCTAGAGATGCTATTGAAGTACATAGGGAATTTCAACTATTGGTAATATTATTTTTTGAGCTGTTTGGTACATGTTTTGTGTTTGCTTTTTAATTGTGACTACTTCATAATAAATTTAAATGTATATAAAAGTATGTAAGTATTTTTGTCATGTATCACTTATGTATAATTAGATACTTTGGAGAGGTTTGAGTAGGAAAGTGGAAAGCAGCTTTGTGATACTGGAGAGGTCTCAAAGACTCAATTTTCTTACATTAAGGTTGAGATAACAGTACCTACCTACTTCATTTCAATTGTTGTGAAGATGGAATGAGATAATGCACATTAATTGTTTAGCACAGAACCTGACATAAGTAGTCAATATTAGCAAAATAAAAGTAATTTTTAAAAAATCACCTGGGACCCTACTCCAAAAAGAGATTACTTTTGCATATTTTATTTCAATCTTTACACATAATTTTCCCTGTCCTCTAAATGTAATTATATTGTTACTTTTAGCCCTTAGAATTTTTTTGGTTGGTCTACTGTATACAGGGGGACTTGGTGACTATTCTTAAAGTACTAGTTATCACCTGGGATGATTTTGACTCCAGTGAACACTTATTAATGTCTGGAGACATTTTTGGTTGTTACAACTGGGGGTGTGCTGTTGGCATCTAGTGGGTGGAAGCCAGGGATGCCCCTGAACATCCTATAATGCACAGGACAGCCCTCCACTATTGAGAGGTATCCAACCCAAATGTCAGTAGGGCCAAAAATGAGAAGCCCTGTCTTAGGGTTACAACTGTGAAAAGCACCCAGTTTGTTTCTTCAAGAAGTGGCATTTAGCCCTGGCCAGTTTGGTTCAGTGGTTGGAGCATCAGCCTGTAGACGAGAGAGTCCCAGGTTCGATTCCCGCTAGGGGCTAGTACCAAAACCACCCCCCCAAAAAAAACCAACAACAACAGAAAAAGAAGAAGAAGCGGCTTTTTATTTTCTTTTTTTGTACATGCCCCTAGCAGGTACCAAACCCGGGACTCTCTGGCCTGCAGGCCGACACTCCAACCGCTGAGCCAAACTGTCCAGGGCAGAAGTGGCATTTAATTTGGCCATGAGGAATGAATAAAACTTGATATTGTGATGGGAGAGAAGAACCATCTAACCTGAGGGAACTGCATAAACAAAAACCAGGAGACCTCTGTATTGTTACTTAATTTTATTCATATGTCTATATTCTGACTCCCAGATTAGACAAAACAGTAAGAGAATAGGAACACATTTCCTAGCACATATAGATTTTTTTTTTTCCAGTTTTAATTTATTTTCATCACGGTTTCTTCATGATCCAGATATTTTAAAATGCAAAGAAAATTAACTTTCCATGATATGTCAGGATCTGGCACTAAAAAAATGTTCAGACTGCAAATGACTTATACAAATATCAAATGGAGATCCAGTTATCAAAATGAAAGCACTCAATATATTAAAAGTTCACAATGATTTGTTTAGAGCACATAAAAAAGTCAGTTTACTAACCAACTGTTGTGATTTTAAAGAACTATTGCAGAGATTTGAAGAAAATGGAGTAGTTAATATAAAGATTAAAGAGCTTGAAACAAGTATTAAAGCATATATAGGGTTTACTATTCAATAATTGTTGAGCAGAGAACTAAAAATCATTAAGTCTTTCCTGTTTTTTCTTTTAGCTACCCATTTGATGTAACTCGCAGGCGCATGCAATTAGGAACTGTTCTTCCAGAATTTGAAAAGTGCCTGTAAGTTACCCATTTGTCATTGTTAATTTTCTTTAGGAAATGTAATGTTTAAAGTAAGTAGGGAGATAGGACTGTGTCTCACCAATAATCTAAAACTTATGTTTTATCTCCCATAGTTCAATTTGATTACCTTATAAGGTTTTAAACCGGGTCCCAATCCTCTTATTTAAAATTTCACTTTAGCCCTGGCCGGTTTAGCTCAGTGGTTAGAGCGTCAGCCCGCAGACCAATGAGTCACAGATTTGATTCTGGTCAAGGGTACGTACTTCATACCTCGGTTGCAGTTTGTCCCTGGCCCTGGTTGGGTCCTGCAGTAGGCAACCAGTCGATGTAGCTCTATCACCTCCATGTTGCTCTCTGTCTCTCTCTCTCTCTCCTTCCTCCCACTCTATCTGATGATGAATGGAAAAATATCCTCAAGTGAGGAATAAAAAAAATTTTTTTTCCACTTTAGTCCTGGCTGGTTTGGCTCAGCAGTTGGAGCATTGGCCTGCAGACCAATGAGTCACAAGTTTGATTCTGGTCAAGGGGCACGTACCTGGGCTGTGGTTCAGTCCCTGGCCCTGGTAGGGTCATGAGGGAGGCAGCCACTCGATGTGTTCCTTTCACGTCGATGTTTCTCTCTTTCTCTCTCTCCCTCTCTTTCCCTCCCACTCTATCTGAACAAAAAATGGGAAAATGTCCTCCGGTGAGGATAAAAAATAAATAAATAAATAAAACAAGAAAGTCTTTATTGCTGAAATCTGACAGTCTTTCAAGCTTTACTTCTATAATCACGTGCTAATTGTAGTATAGAACTGGAGTTGAAATGAAAACTTAAAGGACAACTGTTCTTACATCCTTTAAAAAGACTACATCGATATTTCAGGTATTGTTATGGAATAGTGTTAGTGCTGCTAGTAAATGTCACAGACACAGATAAACAAAATATATGTTATTTATTTATTTTTTTTATCTTCACCTGAGGACATTTTTTTCCATTTTTCGTTCAGATAGAGTGGGAGGGGGAGAGAGAAAGAGAGAGAAACATCGACATGAAAGGGACACATCGAGTGGCTGCCATCCTCACGACCCAACCAGGGCTGGGGACAAACTGCAACCGAGGTGCATGCCCTTAGCGGGAATCGAACCCAGGTCTCTCTGGATCGCAGGCCAATGCTCTAACTGCTGAACCAAACTGGCCAGGGCAAGTATATGTTATTAATGAGCCTGGCAATTCAATGCTTGTACTAGTTTGGAATTAATTGCTATTTTATTTTGAATTTTTAGCTTGTTTTAGTACTTGCCTTCCAAACACTATTGAAGATGGCATTTTAGCTTCTTTTAATAATGCTATTATGGATCTTAAAATTGTGTCTTCATGAGTGGGCCTAAAGATGTCATCATTTAATCATTATCTTTCAGTACCATGTGGGAGACTCTGAAGTATGTCTATGGACACCATGGAATCAGGAAAGGATTATATCGTGGTTTATCTCTGAACTACATTCGCTGCATTCCCTCTCAAGCAGTGGCTTTTACCACATATGAACTTATGAAGCAGTTTTTTCACCTCAACTGAACAAATTTATGATTTCCTTTCCTTATTAAATCCTCAGAAGGGGAAATAAAATGTTACTTTAATTTGGGGGAGAATATTACTTGAAGGGGGATATTTACCCTGTCACAGGAACCACTGGTATTTTAGTACTTGATTTTTTTTTTATCCTCACTCGAGGACACTGTTTTGCATTTATCTTCAGATAGAGCAGGAGGGAGTGAGGGAGGAAGACAGACAGAGAAACATCGATGTGAGACAGACCCATCAAGTGTCTGCCACCCACGACCCCAACTGGTGCCAGGGACAAAATGCAACCAATGTACGTGCCCCTGGTTCGCGGGCCGACGCTCTAAACGCTGAGCTAAACCGTCCAGGGATAGTACTTGATTTTTTTATTTATCACAAATCAAAAGTGCTCTCTGTACCTTTTTTTTTTTTTTTGGTATATGCCCCTAAGGGGGAACCGAACCTGGGACTCTCTGGTCTGCAGGCCAATGCTCCAACCGCTGAGCCAAACCGGCCAGGCCTCTCTATACCTTTTGATGCCAAAAGTTACACCATAGAACACTGAAAAAATTCCTAAGCTGATGCTGGCTACTCAGTTAGGTTATTTGAAATCACTTAAAAGTGGTATTTGGAAGTAGAACTAACTTAAAATGGGATTCAGGAGGTTGCCATTAGCTTTATCATGCTGTTCCAAGCTTTTAATTGTAATCATGATTTTTAAAGACTCTGACATTGGTTATTATAACAAAGTCTTTGCAGCAGATTTATGAGAACTGAACTTTAAAATTATATAAACCGTAGCTTAAAAACCACCATTGAAATATTATTCTTATTTCTTTTCTTAAAATTCTGCTCCACTGGATAAAAGGACAAACACTTTTCCTCTTCATTTAAAAAAACAAAATAGCCCTGGACAGTTTGGCTCAGCAGTTGAGCGTCGGCCTGTGGGCCAGAGATTTCCGGGTTCGGTTCCCACTAGGGGCACATACCACAAAAAATAAAATAAATAAACAAACAAAATTAAAAACTTTGTATTTGAAAAGTAGTCATGCAGTGATTCAACAATAAATGAAGCATTTTCAGGTATTGCTCAAATTTTATTTCCATCTGCAATGACTGATTTAAATATTTTATAAAGTCAGTGTATTTCCCAAAGACAGTAATAATAAATACTGACTATCTGCTCTCAAAACAGATTAGTATTACAGATTTGTTTTGTTAGATGATTAGGTGTATACTGAAATTTATTTCAGTGGGCTATGAAATATTCATTAATATAGATGTGAATGTCAAAGACTGTTTCTAAAGTATTGTCATGCTATATCAACTAGTTCTTCCATGTAAAATAATTTTGTGCAATATCAACTTAAGTAGAAATGTAAAAATGATTTGAATTGCTGTTCTTTATATTAAAGTGGTTTAAAGTATAAGAACTCTGTTTATTGTGTTTAGAGTACTTTTTATGTTTTATTATAAGCATGACAGAAATGGGAGGGGAACAGTTATAATTTTGTCCTTAGAAATAGTGATTTGTAGAATTGATGTGATTTTTAAGATATTAGAAAACTAAGTTGAAAATGTTATTTCTGCTTTAATTTTTATTTTTGCATAAAAGATTTGTTGTCACACCTTGGTAAAAATTAGATGAACTGGTTTCATTTTTAAAGCCTTTATTTTAAAATGAATATGTGTCTTTGTATGATTTATAAGTGTACGTGCAGGTAGAAATACATGTGGTTCTAAAACTATTTTGTATATTTTCATTTCTGGATTACACTATAGCTAAATATTGTTATCAAATCTCAAGATAATTTAAATATATAAAATAAATATTTCTCAGTTATGTTATCAATAAAAAGGACTACAAATATTTTTTAAATAAAAATTTGCATTCTGTCTTTTTAAATTTAATATTTATTTTTTAAATTGATCTTAGGGAGGAAGAGAGAGAAAGAGAAACATTGATGTGAGACAAACATGTCAATCGTCTGCCTCCCACACACAACCCCAACCTTGAATGGAACCCTCCACCTGGGTATGTGCCCTTACCAGGAATTGAACCCATGACCTTCTGGTGCATGGGATGACGATCCAACCAACTGTGCCTCACTGAGTAGGGTTATTCTTTGTCTTTTATAGAATACATAGAATATTAAAAATAAATTCTGCCCTGGCCGGTTTGGCTCAGCGGTTAGAGCGTAGGCCTGCGGTCCTGAGAGACCCGGGTTCGGTTCCCGCTAAGGGCGCGTACCTCGGTTGCAGTTTGTCCCCAGCCCTGGTCGGTTGTGCGGGTGGCAGCCACTCGATGTGTTCCTTTCACATCGATGTTTCTCTCTCTCTCTCTGTTCCTCTCTCTCCCTCCCACTCTACCTGAACAAAAAATGGAAAAATGTCCTCGGGTGAGGAAAAAAATAAAATAAAATAAAATAAAAATTCTAATCATATTTCAACAGTTATTTTTCTCTTTTAACTATTTACATAATTGAAGCCTAAATGTTAAACATAAGCAGTCAGAATGGAAGAATATTTAAAATGATAACTGGACAACTACGAAATTAAAGAAGTAGCCACATGGAGACTGGTAGGGTGGAGGCACAGACGGGTTGGTCCCACACCCATGTGTGGTGGATAAAAATCAGGAGGGACACCTTGGCTATGAAGGTCCTTCCTGAGGAGAGAGGGGTCCCCATCCCACACCTGGTGCCCAGCTCAATGTTCCAGTGCCAGGAAGAGAAGTCCCCATCACTTCTGGCTGTAAAAACCAACTGGAACTGAGGTTGAGGGAGGATGCAGCTGCTGGAGCCCCAGGCAGTTTTTCTTAAAGGACCCGTGCATGGACTTACTCAGACTTGCTCCCTCTAAGCTCAGAGGGGAGGCAACTTGAGGGGCACCAGAGACATAAAGGGAAGAACTGAGCTGTTTGGTCTGGACGAGTGCTGGAGAGGTGGCTTTCTCCTGGACAGACTTGCTGGCGGTGGCTGATGTTCCTTTGGTGAGCCCTTCCCTGGGGCAGCAGACAGCCGCCATGTCTAGGAATCCAGCAACCTGGCTCACACTGTTTGCCCCACTCCATCCAACTTTTGGGCCCACCTAAGCTGTTTCAAAAGGCTTTACTATAGGATTGGCCTGTCTTGGATCCTGCTTCAGTGTTTCCTAAAATCTCTCAAACAAGCAGCATCTGGTCTCAGCGAGCCCCATACCTCTCGTTAAGTGGCCCCAGGCCTGACACTAGAAGCAGCCAGCCTCGGTTCACAACTTGGCTTTTTCTGGGCACCTCCAAGCCCAGCACAAGAAGCGGCTTTTTGCAGATCACTTTGTAGCTTATGCCAGGTAGCCCCGGATAGAACACAGGCAGTGGTTGACCTTGCCCCAGAGCCAGCACACCCAGTGGACAGCATCAGACCACATCAATACACCACCACCCAGCCACCTCCCCAAATGACACAGTCAATGAGCGGATTCAGTGGGTACCAGAGCCCTGATGAAGTAAGTCTTGCTCTGTATGGTGGGCTCCTACACAGTTGATCCTCCAAGGTGGTCAGAGGCCAGTGGTCAGTGGGCATAGTCAGTCCTTGCAGCTGATCGGCCTGAATAAATCCCTCCCATTGACGTGCCAACAACAACCAAGACTCAATTACAACAGAATGGTAGCCCTGGCCGGTTTGGCTCAGCGGTTAGAGTGTCGGCCTGCGGTCTGGAAAGACCCGCGTTCGGTTCCCGCTAAGGGCACATACCTCGGTTGCAGTTTGTCCCCGGCCCTGGTTGGTCGTGCGGGTGGCAGCCACTCGATGTGTTCCTTTCGCATCGATGTTTCTCTCTCTCTCTGTTCCTCTCTCTCCCTCCCACTCTACCTGAACAAAAAATGGAAAAATGTCCTCGGGTGAGGATAAAAAAAAAAAACAACAGTCCTCACTGGTATACAGTCCTCACTAGAGGTACACCTCGAGGGCCCAGGTGGGGTGATCAGGGAGGCTGTGCCACTGGAACCTACAGGACACCTACAACAATAGGCTACCCTATGAAGTCTAGGAGACATAGCAACTCTACCTAATACATAGAAACAATCACAGGGCAGCAGCCAAAATAAGAAGACAAAGAAACATGTCCCAAATGAGAGAAAAGAACAAAATTCCAACAAAATGGAGATAAGCCATCAATCAGATGCAGAGTTCAAAACACGGGTTATAAGATTGCTCAAGGAACTTGGTGAGACATTCAAGAAACTTAGTTTAGACCTTCAAGAAACTTAAGGAGACTTCCAAGGAACTTAGTGAGAACATCAACAACATCAAAAAAGGACCAGTCAGAAATTAAGGATGCACTAATCAAAATAAAGAATAATTTACACAGATTCAATAGTAGAGTAGGTAAAGTGAAGCAAATCATTGATTTGGAATATAAGGAAGCAAAAGACATCCAATCAGAATAGCAAAAAGAAAAAAGAGTCCAAAAAAATGAGGATAGTGTAAGGAGCCTCTGGGAACACTTTAAGCATGCCAACATTTGCATCATAGGGGTGCCAGAAGGAGAAGAGAGAGAACAAATAATCGAACACCTGTTTGAAACAATAGTGACAGAAAACTTCCCTAACTTGGTGAAGGAAACAGACATACAAGTTCAGGAAGTACAGAGAGTCCCAAACAAGATGAACTCAAAGAGGTCCACATCAAGACACATCATCATCAAAATGCCAAATGTTAAATACGAAAAGAGAATATTTTTTATTTTTTTATTCTCACTTGAGGACATTTTTTCATTTTTCGTTCAGGTAGAGTGGGAGGGAGAAAGAAGAAAAGAGAGAGAGAGAGAAACATCGACGTGAAAGGGACTCATCAAGTGGCTGCCACCTGCACGACCAACCGGGGCCAGGGACAAACTACAATTGAGGTATGTGCCCTTAGCAGGAACCGAACCCGGGTCTCTCTGGAGTGCAGGCCGATGCTCTAACTGTTGAGCCAAACCGGCCAGGGCCGAAGAGAGAATCTTAAAAGCATCAGGAGAAAAGCAGTTTGTTACCTACAAAGGAGCTCCCATAAGACTGTCAGCTGATTTCTCAAACGAAACTTTGCAGGCCAGAAAGGAGTGGTAAGAGATATTCAGGGTGATGAAAAGCAAGGACCTACAACCAAGACTACTCTATCCTGTAAAGCTATCATTCAGAATTGACGGACATACCAAGAGTTTCCCAGACAAGAAAAAGCTAAAGGAGTTCATCAACACC